AAGAAGAAAGAGGGGGGAGAAGTGAAGCAGCGCTGAAGCCAAGATTGATGCGGGAAGGCAGAGAGAAAGGGCGGTGCTGGGAGGCAGGTACTGAAGGAGAGAGGCATGCGAGGAGCCCTGTACATGGCGACACTGTCACAGGAAACGCTTCCCTGCTCAGCATCATGCACGTTTTTGCAGGAGTCTGAAATGACAGGTTAAGCTCTCTCATGTACATGTTGTCTACGCTGAGCAAATGAAACGCGCTTCAGTTGCAAAGCCCTTCGCCAAACCGAGCGAGAACCATGCGCGTTTTACAGGTGAGAGAAAATAACGCGATGGAGGAACAGGCCTGCCAAGTACACAGCGCCCTTTGTTTGGAGGAAGTTGAAAGGGTTTAAGTGGCAGCTCAGAATGTACACCTGAAACAACCACCTATAAGCAGCATCAGTTTTTGATGGCACTAGAAAATGTCGATTATAACGCAAGTTAAAAAAAAAAGAAGAACATAGAAACTCGGAAAAAAGAGCAAACTAGAGCACACACAAATCATTCACAATTTAGTTGACTGAGGGAGTAAATACTACTGGAGAAGCTGACTGCAGCTGTAACTTGATTAATATTAAAAAACACTTAGATGGAAAAAGAAACATTTTTAAAAAGGTCACAATACAAACTAAGACCTTGCTTTCTAATTTTGTGTATCAAGGCATAATGGTTCATAAATTATAAATTTTTAATTCCTGAAATCAAAATCACAGAAATGCTGTGCACATTTATGGCCAGTCTGTATCACTGCTGAAATAATATCCTCCAAAAGCTAGAAAGAGGAGCAGGGGAGAAAACTCATCACTTTAACCAGTGTTTTGAAAAATACTTGTATACAAGAGTCCTTAGCTAAAGAACTGTATGGCTTTAGGCATCTCCAAAGCAGTGGGGATAACCGATTTACTGAAACAGTGGGATGGACAATAATCTGTTAGCTCTTGTCTATGCTGTACTAAGATACTTCACTGGTATGTTTTAGAAGAGGCCAACCTAGGTACATCAGGTATCCAAAAAGTGTTTGGAAAAAAGCACTCTCATAAACTACTCAGGCAAAGAACTTCCAACCCCACACTTACTCCTTTAGTTTAACGTAAAATTCTCTGTTTAAGGACTCAAGTCTAAACAAAGTTGAAACATTGTTGCTGTTCATCTAGAAGGGTCCTAGAGAGCCCCCAGCTCAAATTCCACCTTGTCAGCCAAGTAGCCAGCGCAGGAGTTGGAAGATCACAGCGTTAAGGCAGGGAAGCAGAAAAGCATGCAGGATTCACAACAGCAGCAAGAGATTAATGCTCAGGAATAGTCCTCCTTTAGAAAAGAGAGAGGATTTATATAAAGGTCACTCATGGGTAAATCCAGAGTTTTAATTTTTATGAAGTATGCTGAGGAAGTGACCCATGAATACTGTAGGCTCCAATCCCCACCAGTTCATTATATTATTTGTCCCATTTCTCTGACTTAAGTGGTTAAGTGAAAGCTACATCCACTAATAAGCAAAAACACCCAATACCCTACTTATTCCACAATAAGAAGAAAAATATTAAACCTTTGTCTCCTATCCTATCTTAGTAGATAAACAACTTCCTGAGAAAAAGACTAAAGCTATAAAGACACTGATTGTGTTTTAGGCTTTCCAGCCTTGCAGTTAATATTCCAGATCACTTTCAGACCACGCACACCAGGGCAGTTTTCCTGTACTGACAGTTTTACAGGAATTTGTCAATTTTACAGGAAAAACAAAAAACAAAAAACAAACCCCACTAAAATCCTTCCTATCTGGTGAAGTACTTTCTACAATCTGGCACAAGTGCTGTTGGCAGCTGCAGCACTAACATTTTAAATTAAAGGAAACATTGACATTAGGAAAGGCTCTAAGCTGCAAGGTAGCCAACCCAGACATCTGCCAAGCAGAGTACAGGAACTCATGAGGTCGGGACCTTATTTTAAACCCCTTCAATCTAACCACCTACAAAATCCCCAAGCCCTGAAGATTTTGGTGTTCTCAACAATCTTTGGCAAACTCTCTCTAAAAGACGACTATTTTTTCTGACAGAAAGCAAAAGATAATTCATGCAGAAACAGGCCAATTAAAGACAGTAGCAGCTGAAAAGAGACCTCGTTAGCAGCAAGACTTCAAGGCGCAACAGCCAAGCCGCAGCCCCCACGATAAGTACGTTCGGTCCGGCAATTATCTTATCCTAACCCTGCTGCCCATATAGGAAACCAGAACGTAGCTCAGTTGCCGACTTGGCTCCAAACTTCTGTCTCCTTCCTACAGCTGGATTTATGCTTTTTTACAGGCTGTACTGTTTCCAGTGAACACAGTAAAATTTCTTTGTCAGAAGACAACTGCCTTCCACAGTAACGGTACATCTCTAAGGAGCGTTAACACATCTGCAGTACAAGCATTGCACTCTCGATTAGAACACACCAATTGCAAAGAAGCTTGTTTTCTTCATGGCACACTGTTTTGGGCTACGTGCAGGTATATTTTACACTGAGTCCCACTCTTCTAGTGCAAGGCTACATGTTGTGGCAGCTGGCATGTAAGCTTAGATTCTCCTGACAACCTCCGGGCAGACAGGCTCAAGTTCTTAATCCTAAACCAGGCGTACCAAGACCAAAACTGAAACAGATTGGCTACAGAGCCCTCTCTGCTTCCCAACAAAAGCAGCAGGATTTCAATAAGCAACAGAAGCCTGGCAAATACTAGCAAGAATGCTAACACGAATCAGATATCCAAGAAGAGCTGTTTGGAGCACAAGTCACATTCCCACCAAAGGAAATGCCGGTTTTTAGCACGCATCTTGCAATTAGACCAAAAGAATGAAAATCAAAACCATATTGAGGATGCTGAAGAACAAAGAAACCACCACCTTTCACCCACCACCATGGAAGGAATCGCGCGATCAACAGGATCTCACCATAGACAAGCACAGATTTCAGATACTAGATAAATCAAGGGCAAAAAAAGAAAAACAGCATTGATCGTATATTCTGATCGAAACTTCAATTAAATGCAACATAAAGCAGAATTACCATCGCTCCTTATAATCCCAAACCCATAGTAATAAAAGTCAGTAAGATTTGCAAAATTAAATCACATTTGTCTTTGCACTGTTAGAAACAGATACTGTCTACTTTTAAGAGTTACTGAAACAAAGCAGGTTCATATATCCAACAATGGGAGAAAGACCTTTTCTCTTAGGAGTTGAAACTGCTTAGGATAAGAGCTTTTGTGTTGCATCACTCCATAGCTGCTGCTCCTGGAGAGTCTCATATAAACCAGAGTTACCTTTCTAGGACAAGCCATACCGGCTCCGAATGCACAAAGAAGCTGAAAAAGTTAAGATGGCGTGTGCGTGGACAAGTACTGGGTTGATATATGTCAGTTTTGGTTTTGAAATAATTACTGTAGGAGAAGACAGGCGATATGCCTATTTATCTTCAAACAAATCATCCTCATTTTGAGATGCATCCAATCCACAAAACAAATACTCTGATTACATGAAATCAAAGCTCTTATCTTCAGCTTGTGTCATTTTCCTCAAGCTCCTATGACACCCAAGAAAATGGAAAAAATCAACTTGCCCATTTCAAAGGGTTCAACAGACGATTCACAAGCACACTGCTTAACAAAGTTCTGTACTTTGTTAAGCATCAAAGTAAGTCCTTGGGCCCCATGATACCAAGCAAAGGGTTAAAAGGAGTATTATCAGAAAGGCAAATGAGAAGGACCCAGCTCTCTCCAAGACTTGAAATTGCTGTTCCTAATTTAATAGCTTCTTCAGCCCCTGAAGAAATTTTCTTTTGGTTGGCAGTGACTAAGCCTGTTGTTCTCACCTCCCCACACTACATTCACACAAATCAGCTGCACCATCACTAACTTGACTGTCAACTTGTGTTGAAGATACAAGGGTGACAGCTTGTTTAAATGCAGATAAAGAAACAGCCACTTGAATCATGCGTAAGCCAGCAAAACTCATTTCCCAGCAAAGCAGAACGTACCACTTCTTGTCTTGCTGGCTGGCTCCTGGGCTCCTTGGGAGGTTTTCTATTTCCACTAGGACTGGGGCAGAAGGAACCGCAGTTAGGACAGGTAGGCTTGGCTTTGCATTCCAGCTCTTTGGAGACAGAATATGAACACGTAAGGTACTACACACCCATCAGCGAAGCGAAGACACATTACACAGAGCAAAGCATATCATCACTTCTCCTTCAGCACAAAGCTAAAGCAAGGTGGTTGTCCTCCACTGCTCCCACAGCACCGATACCTAAGCCCAGCCTTTTCCAGTACCGCACATGGTACTGGGATCATGATGAATCCAAGGCTGCTCAAAGATTTCAGTAAAAAAGCTATGGCCTGCTGTGTCCTTTTTAAACTCATGCAGTAAGGCTTCTCTCCTGCAGGTAACTCTGCAGCAATGGCTGGCACCTTTGGGTTATGGGCCTCTGGGCCTCATGGCTCCTGGAAAAAAACCAACTCCTTTGGCACAGAAGGTAAAAGGCCGGGCAGAACGAGCCTTCATCCATCCATCCATCGCAGAGAGCTGCCTGTCTATCTGCAGAGATTGAGTAGTTTTACGTTAAAACAAACCAGAATCCTGTTTCCATCAATGTGACCCTTTTTGTTGCCCTCTGTATCTGAAATGGTCCAGAAGGCAAGACATGGACTTCTCAAACTCAAGTCCTGTGTTCTGATATTCAGACGGAGAGTTACTTCACACTAATGTCCCTTTTTCAGAGAAACAGGTATCCTGTGTACAAGTACTGAGGGGAGAGTCATCTTCGATTTCCTTCTTGAACTCAGAAAACGCTGAATTTTTGTTAACAATATACTCTTTAATTTGCATGGGCATTCCCCTCTTTCAGAGAAAAAAAACCTTACAACAAGGAATCACCACAGGTGCTAATGAACTGCACCCCCACCCTCCCCATTTCTTTTAATGTTACTTAGGAAACAGAATTAATGTGCTTTTGATAAGAACAGCTCTCACATCGAGGTACCTTTGTGTACCTATGAAAATCTGAATCTATAAACAGCATAGTTTCTATAGTACTAGGGCACGGGTATTTTGCTTACTCCAGCTAAACTAACCCAATAGCTTGCTTGTTGTATTGGGTTGGCTCAGCCGGATTT